GCCCAAAGGAGCCTCGGGACCACCGACAGCAGGAAGCTGCTTAACGCTGATGGCATTGTATAATGAGAAGGAGACAGACAGTCAGACTCAATGCCTGTCCTCCAACCCCAGGACTGCAACATGGGAGGAAAAACGATTAAGGCACAGTGTTTTGTTTGTTTGTTTGTATATGCTGGGTTGTCCAACCCTCTCCTGGGATGAAATTTGTGTGTCAATTAAATGCACAAATAACATTCATAAAGTCTGTGTCACAATATGAATTTAAGAAAGAGTCACAAACTAGAAAAAAAATAAAAGAAAAGGATATATATGGAAATACATTTTAGTATGGAAAATTGGAAGGTTAAAAGAAATGTTTCTGGATGAGAAAATATTTTGGCTGGTTAAGTAATATTCTAAAGTCCAAGATGAAAGGGGACGAAACTTACATGTAAAGTTGTGAATGTCTAAGTCACAGAAGGTTTGTGGAAGGTAAAGCTCAAAAAGTGTGTTTGTGATTAAATTGGCTATAAGTGACACAGTCAGTTAAAGTTATTTGAATTTGAATGTACTGATATAAAAAATCGGAAACAAATCTACTCTTATTATCACCATAATTTTCTTCTATTTGTGAGGTTTTATTATTTGTGGAAACTCAGTCTTAAAAGAATTAGGGTTTGTACCTGTTGTACAGCCTTAAATGATTACTTTGTAACTGGTCAAGGAAACAATATTTAAGTTATAACAATATTGTTGACACTCAAAATATATGTGACTAGGTGTATGTAGGCATCTGAGAACAATACCTGTCTAAGCCCTGTCTACTTGTTATGTAAAAGTTTATAAAATGAAAGCTTATGTAAGTTTGCCAGCAAGATAAGCAATAAGTGCTCCCTTCTATACATTATGCTCTCTTTTTTGACATAGAAAGGCCACACTGTCATTCGAAGTCCTGTCTTATATCTGTTTGCTTTAACTAAGCCAACTTTGGGTCATTAACACTGTTTCCTAAATGTGGTAGAGATTTAAGGCTACTCTTGGATTTTTGTTAACCCATGCAAACCTGTGATTATTGTTACTGTACACTCAGGATTGTAAATTGGACTTTAAAAGTTAAACTTAGTTAAATGTAAAGCTTACGAGGGCTCTTTAACAAGTTGGTGTTCTCCAAACTAAAATTAGGTGTAGCAAGTGTCTCGGGTTTATAGAAAAATGACAATTTTGATTGGTATTTATTCATGTCATTTGATGTTTTATAGCTGGATAAAGTAAACTGCTGTCAACTTTGCATTACTCTTCTCCCTGAAATTGAAATTTAAATGCATTTTTGGAAGACAATAAGGAGAGCCTGTTCTGTTCAAAGGAGACACTGTAAAACATGGAAGCATTCTGGCACTTTGTCCACAAAAGGAAAGTTACAAGCTCTCTTAGCTTCTCTTTGATTCATGTTTCAGGTGTAATGTTGTATTGTGTTATTTGTGAAGAGCCCACCTTACCTGAGATAAGGCTCTGCTTTCCACCTTACACCATTTTAAAAATGGCTCCAAAAATGTCTAGACTTCAGCCCATTTAAAGTTGTATTCAGAAGTTGATTTTTGTTGTAAAGATTGCTGTGCTTTCAGACAGGGAATATAATATGTAACTAAGTAAAGGTTCAAGATTATAAAAGCCATTTTTTTTGGTTCATAGTTATTACACAAACTGAATATGTTTTTGCTCTGTTAATTCATTTTGGATTTTCCTTGTAAACTTTGTAACTGTTGCCTTTTAGTGTTTTGCAGAGGTACTGCTTTTTGAAAATAAACAAACAAACAAACAACCATGGTTAATTTGAGATAATAAGTCATCACCTACAGGACAGACAGTATGTAATGCTGACTTCCAGTACTAATACTGACTTCAATTAAATGAAAAGGGTACCTGTAAAATTATAGATGTTGAAGTCATAATCCGTTATTCCCTCTTTAAGCCTGGTGAAACTTTCTTGCTGGGTATTTACAATCAAAAAGTTGCAGACCAAAGTCAAGGAAGTAAAAGGGCCAAGGAAAAAGCATCCAACATTTTGGCCCTTACTGTTCAAAGTCAGCCAGGACCCAGAGAATGACAGGACCCCTCTATGGACCCTGCAACTGTAGTGAGTTACCTGATCTACTGAGGGAGATCAAGAGCATCCTGGAGAACAGGAAGCCAACCAGTGCACATTCTGCAAAGCGGAGAGTCATTGGAGATGAAAATGTCTCTGATGCTTCCAAGAGAAGCCACATATGTTCAGCTGGACCCTGACTTATCCTGGCAAGTGGCACCACAGACAGAGGAAAGCTAAAGGAGCCAGGAGGCTTCACACATGTTCGCAAGGGTGATCTCTGAGGAATCTCAAGTGACTGAAGAGTAGATAGGAACAAAGTCAGTTTTGACCAACTGGTCTTAAACACCTGGCAGGAGAGTAGAGCCTAAGAACAGTCCTACATGGACATTAAAAAGGAAAAACAATTGTTTTTTTTGTGTAACTTAAGATGTACATTTTTGTCAGCCCTACCACAAGCTTTGGGCTATGAAGGAAGGGATATTGTATAGGAATATCCAATAATAATGATCACAAAGAACTCTAGAGTCCCACGTTTTTCCTGAGTCAATTGGAGCCTGATCTCATACACCTATAAATCTTTTCAACCTCCCATATTGATAAACTCTGTTTTTCACTGATAAGTGCTCATAGTTTTCAGAAACTGGCTGAAATATTAATTGCTTCTGTGCTAATTGTTTATAAGCAAAGTAATACTTTTCTGCCTTGTTTATTGCTGCCTTATCATGATCTCTGCCCTATGTATGCCTTGTCCACTCACCTGTCACCAGCCACTATGGACCTTTGGACTGCTTTGATGCTGAGTGCTTTAAGTGTCCACGCCCCAACTGATAGAAAAAAAGGACTTTGGGTTGCTTCCACAAACTTCACCCTCTTTCAGCACAAAGCAGTTTGGAGATGTTGTTGCCTATTTTTCCATAGAAATGGAAGGTATAAATTGACTGTGGGGAAATATAACAGTGGTCCATTGTATGCTTTGAATATAGCCCTTGCTGCTCTGCCACAACAACTTGTTTTTTTAAGTGGACATTTTTCTTGCTCTTCCTCTCTCCCTCCACTCCCTATGCTCTCCCCTTCCTAATGTCAGGGGAAACAGGATTACCTTTATTCCCCATCCCACACAGTTATCTGTCCCTGAGTTCACACCCACCATAGGAATGAAGTAATCCTGACTCTGGGGATGGTTCCAGAAGACCTCAGCAATGACTATGTCCCAAATTAACAGGTGAATTACAATGCCAACAGAGAACACGTGGAATGTCGCCTTGGAAACACCTCTTTAAAAGCCCCCTATTCCTGCTTATGGATAGATTCATGGCCTTTGGTACAGGAATTCCCGGTGCTGCTTCTTTGCTAGCAAAGCAATAAAACTTCTTTTTCCTTTATCTTAAAACCATGTCCTCCTAATTGGATTGTCATTTATTATGTAACCCCCAGCAGTCACCCTGAGTCAAACACAGGCATTTCTGTAGAGGATCCATGCACGATGCAAGTGAGTATCCAAAGATATTCAAATTAAGTGGAATATAGAAAAATCACAAGAAAATTCGGGCCAGTTCAGGTCAGGTTTTGCCCTGGAGTGAATTAGCTGTTTGAGTCTCTGGGCTCAGAGCGTCTGCATGGAAGAATGACAGGTGCAAGTCCCCGAACCTCTAAAGTCTCCCTCCTAGGGTTGGGACAGGGCTGTGTACCTGTGTAAGATGTGGTGGGAGAAAGGGGTTTTATAGTTGTCACAGGCAGCGGCCTTTGATCCATAGGCTGGTTGTCCCTGCAGGGTGCTGCCCAGCTTGGTCACAGCCTGGTCACAGCAGCTCAGAGCCAGAGGTTCCACAGATGCGGAGCCAAGGTCAAGGGAACTGAGCAGCTTGCTCACCCCACTGCAGCGCTGAGTGGCTTCTGGGCTGCGGGGTCCGCCTGGCAGGACCCATGGCTCCATGACATGGTCCAGCAGCTGCCGCCTCTGCTCTTCTCTGAGCTGGAGGGAGGGGCCTCAGGCTGCTGCTCAGACGCTGTCCACGCCCCAGCCGGCCTCGGGCTTGGATTCTGCAAATCAGCCTCCTGCTCAGTCACTGGGTGGGAGGCGAAAGTGAAAGAAAAAGTGGCGCTTTTTCGGGAAAGCCCAGGTCTTCTGGGAACCTGCCTCTAGCTGGTCCCTGGCTTGTCCTGGGAGGCGGTGGCTTGGCCAGGCCACTGCCTCTGCCTCTGTTCACAGCTCGCTGCTGCAGCACCAGGGACCCTCAGGAAGGTGAGCACAGAGGTGCAGTGGCCCTTTCCCCCACACCTGGAGCAGAGGGACCGCGGGCTAGGGAGCCAGGGCAGGGGCTGGGCTCCTGAAGGAGCAGGTGCCAAGAGTTGGCTCCTGGCTCTGGACAAACAGCTGTCCTCAGGGCGACTGGGCTTTGCCTCCCCGCAGCTGGGAACTGTGCAGCTCAGGGCTCCGGGCTCCGGGCTCCGCTCTTCTCCTGAGAAACCAGGGGCCCCACATCTTCAGGGCTCCTCTTGGAAGAAGCTGCAGCTGGCTTCGCCTCCTGATGCAGCCCCAGTGTCCCGTCCTCTGGATTCAGGATTATTTCGTCCTGTTTACTTGATGAACGACGCAGGGAGGTGTCCTGGCAGTTTCTGAGCCAGGCATTTTGCAGAGATTTCCCGGATAAAGAGAGAGCAGCGAGGACAGTCCTGAGACTGCAGAGCTGGAAACGGACGGGGGGGGGGGGGGGGGGGGGGGG